AGATGGGATATTGGGAAGGAATTCTTGGCTGTGAGGGTGCTGAGGCACTGGCACAGGTTGCCCAGAGAAGAGAAGCTGTCTCCATCACTGGCAATGTTCAAGTCCAGCTTGGATGGGGCTTGGAGCAATCTGGGCTAGTGGGAAGTGTCCCTGCCCATGGTAGGAGGTTGGAACTACATAATCTTTAAGGTCTCTTCCAACCCAAACCATTCTGTGATTCCATGACAAAAACCTGTGACACTGAAGTTGTTTTCTGCTTGTTGCTCTTTAAGGAGCTACACTTAGCAATTCCAATGTTCAAGTCCAGCTTGGATGGGGCTTGGAGCAATCTGGGCTAGTGGGAAGTGTCCCTGCCCATGGTAGGAGGTTGGAACTACATAATCTTTAAGGTCTCTTCCAACCCAAACCATTCTGTGATTCCATGACAAAAACCTGTGACACTGAAGTTGTTTTCTGCTTGTTGCTCTTTAAGGAGCTACACTTAGCAATTCCAGAATTCCTGCACATGGGTGAGATAATGAAATCCTTCTCTTCTCTCCCCAAGAGGGTGTAACTCTGACCCCTGACTGCCTGGAGGATTGTGTCCTTACCTGCTACTGGGGCTGCAATGTGCAGAAACTCCACGAAGCCCTGCAGAAACACGTCTACTGCTTCAGAATAAAGACTCCTCAGGCATTAGAGGATGCTCTGTACAACGAATACCTCTACAGACAACAGTACTTGTATCCTTTCTTGAGCTTGTTTTGAGAAAATATGCTGATTTCTTGGCACAGGGAGCACTGAGCTTCGTGAGCGTTCAGCAGCTTTTGGCACAATGTATTTATGAGCAAATATGATGACAAATACTCTTTATGCAAACGTCACATTTGTCTGCAATTGCAGCCACACTGATTGTTTTCCTTGACATAGACAAAGCATTAAAAAAAATGACAGGGAAGAAAAATATTGTCAGTTACCAGAAGATGCTCAAGTTGTGGATTTTGGCCCCGTGCCTAGATCTCGCTACCCACTGGTAGCACTGCTGACGTTGGCAGATGAAGAAGACAGAGAAATATATGATATTGTAAGTAATATCACATTGTATTTTAGGGTCACTGTATTTAAGGCCTGATGTTTTAGGAGAGAGGCTTGAATAAAGCAGCTTCCTTTCCCTGTCCCCTAGAATGTGGTCCCTCACTTGTGACTCCAGGGGATTGTGGCAGAAAGATAATTGTTACATAAAAATTATGAGTGGCATTTAAAAGATGCCTGTGATTTTCCCAAAGCTCCTGTCTGCCAAGGTCTCTGTGGTCAGAGGAACTGAGGTTGTGGCAGGTTAGTGACCTGTGACTCTGATTATTCTGATCACACAGACCTGTGGTGCAGCTCCTGCGCTCACACAGACGTTTGGGTTCTGTTGGCAAGGCAGGAGGGTTTTTGTTTTAGTGTCTGGCACAGATCTTGAGCTGATTGCTGACTTGGCTGTTAGAAACACTGAAATTACCTCTCTGCCACAGGGCTGTGTGATGCAGTGTGTTCTGCCTCACAGTACTCAGCCCCAGGTCTGGTACAGGAGGGTGTGAAGGTCTTGCTGGAGACTGATATGACATACTCAGCTCCTCCAAAGCGTCTCCTCCTAATCTCTTGCTGTTGAAGCATCTTCAGCCTTGTCACATGCAGTTCAATATCCTTTATAAACTATACATTGATTAGTTTTTGAATGATTTGAGACATATTTTTGTCTCCCATCATTTCACTGGGTCGATAATCTGCTGGCACTAACTGCTTGAACAATAACACAAATGAACTCTGAAGCAAATTGCCTAAATCCACTGGACACTTTTCCATGCATTCATCTGGAAATTGAAGTCACACCAGTGGCTAAGAAATCTGTTCCCTCTCCAGGTGATGCCTGTCCTTGACTCCTCGTCACCTGACCTGAGGGTTACCTTCCTCCCTCCTGTCCTCACTGCACGTGTTTTCCCCAGATTAATCCATTTTTATACGTTTAGAGTTCAAATTAGTTTAATATAAAGAGACTGTAAATTAATATTTGAATGTGTTTGACAGTAGCTTGGGCATGAATTCGTAGCACTTCTCTTGTGATCCCTAACGTAGAAGAAAAGGGTGGAAGGAGAGTGAAGGAGGTTTCTTCCTCTGGTTTTGGAGGAAGGGAACACAACTAGGCTCTGTACATCTGGTCAAGGACTAACTCCACCTTGTCCTTGCCAGATAAGTGTCAGAATTGCATCTGTTTAGTTGAAACAAACCTGTAAAATGTAAATATAGTGTGGAAAAGGATCTTTGCCAATATGAGATTGCTGTTCTGAATTATTATTTGTGTGTGTGTGTCCATCACTATGGATGGTGTTCCAGTATCTCTTTCCTGGGGGGTCTGATTTTCATCCTAACTGTGTTTGTCACCAGATTATCCCTATTTGGGTTTGTGCCATAGTTCTCCTCCAGCTCCAGAAAATTAGCATTACCATATATAAGAGTTAGGGGAATTATATGAAGACTGACAGGGCTAAGGTGGAAGAAGCTTAGATCTCAGGCATTGTGACTTAGCAAAAAAAGGCCTTTTTGCCAAAGAATAGTGAATTCAGTTAGTACAAATCCATATGTGTAGGTGCAGATCCATTTAAATTCTGTTTTAATTAGCCATGTGTGGATTTTGAAGTGCAAGTCAAATTTACTTTTATATTTCTTTTTAAACAAAACAGTTTCTATATTTCATTTCCTTTTTGACAGCTTCTGGGAACTACAATAATATTGAATTTCACTCTCTTTTTTTCCCCCCCTGCTTTTTAGAGGCTATTACATAATTTGGGAGGGGTGAGGGGTGTTAGGCACAGCTTGAGATCTTGGAGTGCTTGTATTTCCAGAGAAATTACCTAAAGTCAACCCGTGAGGTCCTTTCAGAGACCTTCCCAGTGAAATTTGATTCTAAATACTTTTCAGAGTCTAAAAACTGTGGTCTCTGTGATTCTGAGGGAAGGGGGAGAATGTGGGGAAGACTGTAGGAAAGTCCTGGTAGTTTGTCAACCTCTCTCCCACCTCTGAGAAGCTCCTTGTGAGTCAGTGGAGTGGAAGGAGGAGTGTGGGAGCTGCTGCTTCTGGCTGAAACCATTATTCAGTTAAGCCTTTCGGAGGTGAGAGCAGCCAGAGCAGGTCTCTGCTCTCAAGTGGCCACAGAAGGGCTCCATGGAGGAGCAGGGTGGGCAGCTGAAGCATCACCAAGTGCTCTCTTGTGCCACATCCTGTTTTCACCTTGTCCAGCAAATTTTTTTTTGGCCTGAGCTTCAGTTCAACATTTCTCAGTTCCTCATTGTCTAAGGAATTAAGCAGCTCAGAGGCTGTACCAAGGTGTGTGATCCTCCAAGCAAATCATAGAATCCCAGGCTGGTTTGGGTTGGAAGAGAATTTAAATCTCACCCAATCCCACCCCCTGCCATGGGCAGGGACACCTTCCACCAGCCCAGGTTGCTCCAAGCCCCATCCAACCTGACCTGGAACACTTCCAGGGATGGAGCAGCCACAGCTTCTCTGAGCAACCTGTGCCAGTGCTTCACCACCCTCACAGGAAAGAATTTCTTCCCAATATCCCATCTATCCCTGCCCTCTGGCAGTGTAAGCAATTCCCCCTTGTCCTGTCCCTCCAGACTCTTGTCCAAAATCCCTCTCCAGCTCTCTTGGAGCCCCTTTAGGCCCTGGAGCCTTTTCTCCTCCAGACTAAACACCCCCAGCTCTCAGCCTGTCTCTGTAGCCTGATATAACCAGAGGAAAGTTATTAAACACAGCTTTCTCTTTCTGTAGATTGCAATGGTGGCTGTAATTCATATTCCTGATGAAAGCTACAGACTTTCCTGCAGAATATTGTATCAGTATCTCCTCCTGGCTCAAGGTCAATACCATGATCTGAAGGTAAACCACACAGTCTTGTTTCATTTGGGTGAAAGTGTTCACTGCAGTTTGTGTAGGCTTTCAGGAGCCTAATTTAGTACAAGAGTTCTATTGTCATGCAAAGAACTGGATGATAACTAAAATTATTTTATCAGTTAAGTAGTTCCAGAGGAACTTACTGTACAGCAATATTTTCTATGAAAATATTCAAGATTTCCTGGAGAAATCACTTGCTCCCAGTCAAGGAGTCCTAGGTCATGCCCACTTAGTAAAGGAGTAGTAAGAAATGAGCTGCTAAATGCTGCCTTTCTTCAGAACATTAGTTACTTCATTGCTAGTCTCTCAAACCAGATTTTTCTCCAAAACCTTCAATCACAGTTGAACTTGATGATCTTAAAGGTCTCTTCCAACCCTGATGGTTCTCTGAATCAAGAAGGCCTGAGAAGAAACTTACTTTTTTTAACATTCCTATTTCCTGCAGTACATGCCCCAGGGTTAGGAATCGTGCCTGGAAGAATTTATGCTTCATGTAAAATGAGACCAAAATAAAATGAATAGGGGATTGGAATATGAGCAAGAGCAGAATGGGTTGAGTGAAGTGGATGTGACAGTGTGGTGGATGTAGTGCTGGTAGGAATGGATGGAAGCATCCCCCTAGGCACAGAGACTGATAGACCTGAAACACACAGCTGAGCTGCTTCAAACCTGGGCACTTGTGGGAAGGTTCAAGCATGATGCTCATTGGATTCAGGCAAGATCTGATGACTAATCCTTAATATTTTCCCAGTGTTTTATGTGGTTTTATATATCTGAAATGCCGTTACCTGGAGGCCAAGCAGCTGTCAGGACCCACACAAAGCCAGTCTGGCACTGTGGACACCAGTAAACTGACCCAGTGGAACTTCCATTGCCTGTCTGTGTATGCAGAGATTTAGAGAAGACTTTGTTGACTTCTCAACATTTATGTTTGTGTCTTTTAGCAACTCTTCATGTCTGCAAACAGCCCTGCACCCTCCTTGGGGGACACACTCCCTGCTGAGAGCAGCACTGACAGAACCCTGCTGGAAAAGGCTGGGCTGGCTGGAGATGAACCAGAGCTGCATGAGGAAACCAGTAAAGACTGTGTGGTGTGCCAGAATGGCCCTGTGAACTGGGTGCTGCTGCCCTGCAGACATGCCTGCCTCTGTGATGGCTGCCTCAAGTACTTCCAGCAGTGCCCCATGTGCAGGCAGTTTGTCCAGGAATCCTTCCCACTCTGCAGTAAAAAGGAGCAAGATGAAGATGAGTCGACCCATGTCTTGCAAGATGTTCTTCCTGGAAGAGTTTTTTAATATGGGGAGTTAAAAAAAAAATAGAAGAACTGGGTTGTGTGCACTAAGATTAAATGTAGGAGCCAGACTGGGTTTGGGGAGGATATGTAGCATTAACTCATAAGGTTTTGCTTTTAATTGGTAGGTAATTCTCAGCTTCCTTATTTTTCTTCACTCCATATGCTCACAGGAGCACTGAGCTTCTCCATGCAATGTGGACAGGAGAAGTGCGTAGGATATCTTGGAAGGATGGAGTTTTATTTATAACTCCTTCCTAGTTTTTCTTGGAGTGCTACTGGAGGCTATTTTGACTACTAAATTTAGTCTGTCTGCTAAAAACAGCATAAACCGAGTTCAGTTGCACGAGGCTCATTCTATATTTATTGTATTTAAAATGCTAGAGCCAATACATCATTTTACTCAGTTTAATTTAGAAACTTAGCACTTTACAGAATGTACCAGATGAAGGGAAGTAAATATTCCTCAGTGTTAACCCCTTGTGTATTTATTGTGTAGCTGAAGGCTGGGCTGTGGCAGGAGCTGGGAGTTGGAGTGATTTGGGACACTGTTTCCAGCTGGATTAAAGGATTTCTGTGTGTGTGTGTGTTTGGGGGGGACCTTATGCAAACCCTGTTGGAACGAGTGGAAAGATTGTTGATGATTATTGGCCTCAACTACACTTTGCTGACACTTTCAAGCCTGAGCCCCTGTGATGACATCTTGAGACACAGACTTTCAGTCTTGTTGGCAATGCCTGAAAGAACTTGTTCTCCATGCAAGTGTTGGTTAATTACTCCCCAGAGTGGTGACTTGAGCAGTTTTGTGGTACTGGTCCTGCACCAGTATCCTGCTTTGGGGGATTTCCAACTCTTTGCACTTGTGTGGTCAGCTTGGATGCAAAGTTAACCAGTTACCTTTATCAGTAGTCCCAGGAAATGTACTTGCTCTAACAAAGAAAGAAGAACAGCAGAAAATTATTTCCCTCCCATGGTGTGTTGTCAAAAGCAATAAAAATGGCTGTTGAGAAGAGAAAGTGGTTTGTTTCTTAGGTGAATTTGTCTCTCTTAAAGACAGGTGGACTGAGTTTCACATCTGCTCATATAAGACAAAATGGTCCTTAGAACCTGCAGAAAATGGGGAGTAGCTGCTTTGTGTCATCCCTCTTGTTCCCTTGCAGCTTTTCCCCACATCCAATCTCAGGACAGCTGCTCAGGCTCAGGGAGGGAAAGCTGTGCTCCAGCTCTTCGGCTGCAGCTCCAAGGCACACACAAGGTGCTGCACACCTCCAAACCAGGGAAGGAAGCTTCCCCTGCTCAAAGGTATTCCAGCTTCATCTCTCCATCATTCTCTTTTGTTTGCCATGACCCTGCTTCCAGCTCCTGGCAGTTACCTCTAAAGCAAAGATTTAGGTGGTGGTGGTGGAAAGAGCATTGGTTAGCTGTAAGGACAGGTGGAGGCTGGGAGTTGATGCATGTAGCCACAGATTTCCAGGCAGTGATCAGCTGGTTGTTTGTAAGACAGTTTATCTGATCTGCCTAAAGTGACCTTCCTGGCCAGGGACAGCTCCTGGACAAACCATCCTGTTGTTTGCACTGTGTATCAAACAGGAATGAAGCCCTGAGGTGTCTCTGGGGACTGAGCAGTGCTTGATCCATGACAGCAGCTGTTTCCATATGAACAGCTCACACAGCATGTGGGACAGTGGCTGGACAGCTTGTTACTCCAGAGAGGCAGGTTAATGCTGTGCTCCTTCCAGCCTGGAGCTGGACACTGATAATTAGCAGGGACTCATTTGCCCACGTAGGTGATGAGAGAGGTGTTGTTTACTGCTTGACCACAGTAGTAACCAATATTAAATCAATTAATTAAAATTGCCCAACAAGACAGTGTGATCCAAAGCCTTGGGCTTGTTTAATCTCAGAGTGAAATGGTATTCAAGGAACCCCACAGAGAGCTGCCTGGTCTGTCTCATCCTTCAAGCAATCGATGCCAGTATTAAATAATCATGGCAAACAGGATGTGGCTGTGCTGAGCTGCCAGGCCATGTATTTACCATTAAGCCTGGCCCAGCTTTTCATTTGTTTCATGTGCTTTTAATAGCATTTTCCAGAGATGCTTGGTTGCTTTATCAGCTCTAACAAGCTTCCTTGCTGGCCCAAATGAAAAACCTGACAGAGAGTTATAAAAAGTACAGTATCTGGCTCATTACACTTCCCTTCTCCTAAGGAGACATCCCAAAATATGGATCAGGTGAGAAGGAGAAGGAGCAGCTTTAAAGCTGCATTTGCATGTCCCTTGGTTGTCTTAAAATAGGGACTCAAGGCTCTAAGAGAGAAATAAAAGCGTCCTGTGACCCACAAAAGCACAGTATATTGAGAGAGGCTGTCGTGCTCTGTCACCCAGTTGTAATAGAGGTAATGTGGCACTCCTTTTCCACTCATTTTAGATGATTATGTATGGATTTGGTGACATTGAGGAACATGGGAAGACTTCTGGCAACAAGACTTGCTTTTTTTCAGCAGCACTGGGGTCTTACAGGTTTGTCCTGGGTTTTTCTGCAGGAGAAGCAGGAGGTAATTCACCTCTTGGTTTGGTTTATCAACACTGATCAGAGCTGAGGCTTTGAAATGGGGCAATCAGACTAAGTGCTGCTACTTAGGGATGTCCCAAGGTGTCTTTCCAAATGTCAAGGGACTATAACATGGACATCTTTCTGTAGAAAAAGTTGCTGTGTTTGGATCTTCTTTCCTCCTTACCTGGCTCCTCCAAGCAGAGGGCAAATGGTAGGAGGGAGACAATTCAGGGCAGTTCAGGTGATTGCTGGAGAACTACCTGACAGGAGGTTGTAGCCAGGTGGGGGTTGGTCTCTTCTCCTAAGAAACAGGCAATAGGACAAAAGGAAACAGCCTCAAGTTGCACCAAAGGATGTTTAGATTGGATATTAGGGAACATTTCTTCACCTGTCCAGCCTTGGCACAGCTGTACAGGTACATGTTTTGTTCAGCTTTAAGATGAGCTTCTGTGTGAATCTGATTGAATTGATTTACTTACTTGCTAACATCAATCTTCAAGTATGGTAAAAGGAGCCAGGACTCAGGGGCTGAGTTTCTCCTGCTAATTTTGCATGTGACTTGGTCTCCCCATGCCCTGAGGAAGCTCTGCCAGACCTGCAGGTGACGTCTGCCAGGTGAAGGAGGTCTGGGGCTGACGTCTGTGACTGGGAAGTCTCTGCAGTAACTGGCCACCAGTCACCACTTGCTCAGTTGTCCTCATATCCAGAACAAACAAGGACTGGCCTCTGTCACTGCAGCTGACGTGCAGCCCCTGCAGAGGCTGTCCCTGCTGTCCTGTGTGTGTGGAGCTGATGTAATTAATGCCAGGGAGAGCTGAATTTCATCTGATACAGCAAAACTCCTCTGGAATAAGCTACTGAAGGGCTTGGTGTTGCCTTGCTGGAATATGCTGGGCAGGAAAAAGAGAAAACCAATATTTAGGGTTTATTTCTGGATAACTTTAGTATTCCTACCATTTTAACATTGCTTTATGATGGCACACAGTGGTGCAGATGCACATCTGGGCACAGCTATGAGGCCACAGAGAGCACTGGAGGATCCCCCCAAAACAGCCCCAGAAATCACAGAGGGGCTCAGGAGGACTCTGCCAAATGCTGTGGAGTCACTCAGGCAGCTCTACATGTTGTTTCTCTGTTGCCTGTGCTCCCTCACATCTAGGACTGATGTGGATAGAGAGATATGAGCTTGTAGTGCAGTGAAGGTTTTGCTACTGGTTTGACTCCTGGTTTTTGCAACACCTACATAAACCTACATCCACCTTTGTGTGGGTGCTGCTCCATCTGAGCTAGGAGAGTTCCTGCTCTAATTACCTCATAACAGAATGATTTAAAAGGGTAAAAGACAGTCTTAAGATTCAATGAGGTCTTCAACAGACTCTGATATCCAGAGTGTCTGTGTTTCTCTCACAGTATTTTGGAGATCAAGGACATTATATATTCATGCTGGGGTTACTGAGCCTTCATCAGGGTTCAGATAAACCCCCAAAACTCCTTTTCTTCCTCCTCCTCCCTACACATTCACTCCTTAGCCATAGAAAGGGCAACACTGGGATGATGTTTGTCACAGTCATGACATGAGGAGTTATTGCATTTCTATCTGTCACACGTCATGTAGTGTCAGGGCAAGGGGGAATGGATTCCCACTGCCAGAGGGCAGGGACAGATGGGATATTAGGAAGAAATCTTTCCTTGTGAGGGTGCTGAGACACTGGCACAGGTTGCCCAGAGAAGCTGTGGCTGCTCCATCCCTGGGAGTGTTCCAGGCCAGGTTGGATGGGGCTTGGAGCAACCTGGGCTGGTGGAAGGTGTCCCTGCCCATGGCAGGAGATTGGAGTGAGATGGTCTTGAAGTTCCCTTCCAACCCAAACCATTCTGTGATTCTGTTTTCCATTCATTAGAAAACGCCTGCACTGCCTGTGCAGTTCCCAGATCCTCCTGAGGGTCAAGTGAATCCCAGAACTACATCTGCTGGACCAGCAATAAATTATCTGGACAATTAGTCGCTACCTGTGTTTTCTATCCTCAGTCTGCAGCATCCTTGTATCAGCAGAAGATTTGTACTTAGAAAGCTTTTCTAGGTTTTAAATGCCTCCTCCAGCTTTTTGTCTTCATCAGCTGAGGGGGTTTGGCAGTTCCTAATAATTTTTCCTCTCCCATTGCATAGCCACTTCACATCTAATATTTCCTGGCAGATTTCTCAATAGTAGCTGCAGTCAGGGGACTGGTGAGAAGTCTCATGCATCACTTCTCTCTCTCCTAGTGCTATTTGTTCCAGTGTCTATCAGCTCCTAGTGAGCAATATTTTAACAAACAAGCTGGAGGGAGGATCGCTAACTGGTGAATTATTTTGAGGTTTTTTTCCCTGTAGCTCTGCAGATCCTATTGAGTTTGGAGGCAGTGGGACCCCAGAGATCTACCAGGGGTCATCATGCATCAGTCTTCTGGCACCAGAACTGAGGTGGTCAAATGCAGCACAGACACTGTGCTCGAAGCTCTTTGATTTTGATCTCCAGTTCCTGAGGGTCCTTGATTTCAAGGATGCTTCCTGGA